TACGGGGTCTTGCAGTTAAAATGCTGCAATTATAAGCCAAGTTGATTATATGGATTCAAAAGCACTGGGTCCTTTAGAAGTCCCCTTATGTTCAGATTATACCTGGTATTAATAGTTAAGCTTACTTAATACCAGGTCATTTTAATCCATAGTGAAATCATCATAATCAATGGTTGATACAGATCTTGGACACAGACCTTGAATGAGGCTTATAGAGGCTGTGAGTACATTTATACAGGTACAAAAGGGTCTCTTAGAAGTCTCTTTATGTAAGGGTTATATCTATAATCTATTAGTACATATTAATATGTACAGTGTCATTTTAATCCTAGGCTATATTATTATATTTAATGGTGTATACAGACCTTGGACACAGACCTTGAATGAGGCTTATAGAGGCTGTGAGTACATCATATACATACAAAGGCTAAAGGTCTCTTAGAAGTCTCTTTATGTAAGGGTTATATCTATAATCTATTAGTACATATTAATATGTACAGTGTCATTTTAATCCTAGGCTATATCATCATAGTCAATGGTTGATAATTACCACATAAAATGACAGATGCCAGTTAGGAATATAGTCTGATAATGAGCATCTGTTCTTCAAAACTCATTAACTTTCACTTCCCATCAAAACCAATTACAAGGTGGTAATATACCATCTATATATATCTACTGATTGACAGTTAGACTTCTGTTGTGTCTTTTGAGGTAACAGTGTTAGTTACAAGTGTTGGATTGTAAAAAAAACTCAAAATACATCAAAGTGTCTTTTGATGGTGTTTGTTTAATGTTCTAAGGTATGAAAGTTACATAGGTTACAGAGTGTTAGATTTTATAAAGGGCTCAAAATACTTCAAAAATTTCTTTTTGTGGTGTTATTAGATATATTATGGTGTGTTTTGTTGCTATGGAAATGAATTTGTCAACGGATTAAGTTTAAATTTCTGATTTAGTTTTAAAGATTGATTCAAATCCCTTTATTGGATCAAAGTGAAATTGGTTTAAAGGTGGTCTTTTCCTAAGATTGGGGACCATCTCTTACTAGTAATTAGATTGTATAACATATCCCTGAAATTGAAATCATGTGCTTTTTAAATTTGGACAGTATATGTGGTGCTGATGAACTCAAGTTATGAACCGTACCTATCAAAATATTTTAGATTTTGTAACAGATTTGCCAATTTTTTTGTACAATTGATTACTAAACCATTTCTATTTTTGTATAATTGATTACTAAACCAATTTTATTTTTATATAATGATTACTAAACCAATTCTATTTTAGTAAAATTGATTAATCAACCAATTTAATTTTTGTATGATTGATTAATCAACCAATTTAATTTTTGTATGATTGATTACTAAACCATTTCTATTTTTGTATAATTTATTACTAAACCATTTCTATTTTTGTATAATTGATTACTAAACCAATTCTATTTTTGTATAATTGATTACTAAACCATTTTTATTTTTGTATAATTGATTACTAAACCATTTTTATTTTTATATAATGATTACTAAACCAATTGTATTTTTGTAAAATTGATTACTCAACCAATTTAATTTTTGTATGATTGATTACTAAACCATTTCTATTTTTGTATAATTGATTACTAAACCATTTCATTTTTTGTATAATTGATTACTAAACCAGTTTCATTTTTGTATAAATGATTACTAAACCAATTTCATTTTTGTATAATTGATTACTAAATTCTATTTTTGTATATTTCAGATTAGTTATCACTGTATGTAGAGATGTCCACTGGCTCATGGGATGATTCTTCTACTTTGGTTAAAGAATTACCTTCACCAACCAACACTGATAAGGACAAGGATAAGGACGAGGTATTCGAGAAGGTTGCCCAGTCACCATTGTATGTAGTTCATGCGTCTGATCCTAAATCCAAATATGTTGGAATAGGAAATTCACCCATAAAGACTAAGAAATCTAAGGCTGCCAAAGGATTAGGATTCTTATTAAAAGCTAGAGAAGGTGCAAAGAAACGATCGAAATCTCCTTTGAAGTCTCCGAAATCTCCATCGAAAGAAACTCTTACCAAGGAACTGACTGAAGAAGAACTTGCAGAGAATGAGAAACTTAAAAGCAAATCAGAGCATTGGCAGGCTTTTATGTCCATGCAAGATCGAATTAAGTCAAATGTTCTGAAAACACAGAGTTCATTGCTACAGACTGGACGAATTTCACCATCTGGACGAATTTCACCTGCTAAAAGTGACAAAGAAGATCATAGGGAAAGTTCTTCACCTTGGACTCAGTTTGACAATACCACTGACTCGGATTATCAAAGTGACACTCAGCAATTCTTTGACAACTCTCAACAAGATGGAGTCAATGAGTATTCCTACAATGATCAAGTAGTTCCTGAAGGAAATGAGGATTATTTGTCCTCAGTCCCCTCAATTTACGTTGGTGATCAAAGTAAACAATACGATCGCGCTTATAGCTTAGAACAAGAAAATGTAACAGACAATTTAGAGTTTGAAAACACACTAGAAAAATCAGAACACGAAATTAACGAAGATCCTTTTGGATTTAATTTGGATAAAATGAGTAGTGACATTCCCCCTCAACCATCTAATGTTGCCAGTGAAGATCTGTTGGGTTTGGAAGACTTTCTAGGTCCTTGTAACGTTCAACCTGCAACACAGGATTCTTCAACAGATTGGTTCTCTGGATATAGTTCCTCTGTCCAGAGTAGTGCACAATCTTCTCTCTGTTCAAGCCCTACTGGATTTGATCAAGAGTTTCTTGCAGAACCTGGAAGCACAGCTGTATCAGATCTTGCTAAAAGCCTTGTGGATGACTTTCTTCAATGGGGAGCAGAGACTGCAGAGAAAGATCTTGATGTTGGACCTATATCAACAAATCCTTTTCACACACCATCTTTACCTCCTAAAGGAGTTCGAGTTCCTCCAACTACTCCAGATATGTTTGATCCTTTGAAATCGGGTGGTTCATTGGACGGACTATGGGGTTCGTCTACCACACCTTTCAATTTGTTCCAACAACCTACTGACTGCACAACTTCGACTGATCAGGTTGACTCATCACAAACTTCAGCCTTCAGTCAGCCTTCTGGCAAAAATCCCTTTGTGGATGACTCAATGCCAACTCGACGTGACTCATCAGCAAGTGACTCCTCTGCTGTAAATCCTGAACTATTTAGTGGCATGCCTGTACCCTCTACTCCTCCCATTAGAAGTGATATTCTTAGTAAACTAAGTGCATCTCCAGCAAAATCTCCTATCAAAATAGCCAGACAACCTTCAAAGCAGAAAAAGAGTGATCCCTTCAGTGCACTTTTTAAGGCAGCAAAAGACCCCTCAAGAACGTTTGATGCTGATGATGATGAAGAAGATGAGCCTTTGACATTGGCTGGAATGAAAGCTAAAGCAGAGCGTTTAAAAAGTGAAAGTGATACTCAGTCAGATATCATATCAAATAACATTTCTAGTATTGACATTGAATCAGTTTCAGAAATCAAAAGTTCAACCAATTCAGATCCTTTTAGTGCGGGCGTTAGCATCAATACATCAGATCAAGATCCTTTTGGCAGTGCTGTTACTTCTGATAAGACAGATTCAGATCCTTTTGGTATTTCATCTACCATAGATCAACAACATTCTTCAAGTCCATTTGGTGTTTCAGTACCTAATGATCCAGCAATGGAATTAGATCCATTTGGAATTTCGAAACCAGTAGAACAACAGCAAGATTACTCAGACCCTTTTGGCTTTGGGAAGCCCGCTGACTCTGATCCATTTGGAGCTCATACTGCTGTTACATCTGATCCATATGGAATGCCAAATTCAGAAAACATTCAAGATTCTGACCCATTTGGTGCACCACCAACTAAAACTGTTATCTCAGACCAATCTGCTCCAGATATGGACATATTTGGTACTTTAAAATCAGCCGAGATCAAACCAGATATTGATCCTTTTGAAAATCATGATCAAAAAGAAGAATTTGCAAAGCCAAATCCATTTGGAAATGTATCAAGCTCTGATCCATTTTCCACTTCTCCATTAATGGATTCAAAAGAATCAAGTCAGCAACCTGTAGAAAAAACAGATCCATTTGATGCTTGGGATTCCAAACCTTCTTTAAATACAGGTGTTGATCCGTTTTCTTCTAATAGCAATGCAGATAAAAGATTCTCACAAATGGATTTTGAGGATGATGATTTCTTTACCAGCAATATCTCCTCTTCAGCTCCATCAACAGATGCTTGGGGAGCAATTGACTCAGGAGCATCCAAACAAACAGCCAATCCATTTGAAGATGACTTATTTACTACTGAAAACATTCCAATGCAAGTTGATGAAACTGCTGCTATAGAATCCAACATACAACCAATTAACCCATTCCTAACTGCAAGTTTCGAAAACATTGCTGCAGAAAATAAGAATACACAGCCTAGTCTTTTCCTAGGTGAATCTACCTTTGGGGTGGACACCCAGAACTCTCAGCCATTTAGCTCTCCTTCTAAACAGCGTAAACTTCAAGAAGATGATGGTGATCCCTTTGATCAATTTACTGAGGCTCCCAAAGAAAGTCAAGAAAATCAAGGAATGGATTTACTGAGTACAGAAGAGAAAAGAATGTCTACATCTGACTATGATAACCTTGAAGAAGATGAAAAGGAGACTTTTAAGTTGGAAATTAAGACATCTGCTAAAAATCTGCTAGAATCTGGACCACCTCCAATGCTTCCACCGCCTCCTAAACCTCCTAAGTCTCCACAAATCCAAGCCAGGGAAAATCCTTTTGACAGAGACTCGCCACCTGAAGAAAACTTTGCTAAATTTGAAGTGGTAGAGGACGAATTGAAGTCCAAACCACCACCAGAGCCCAGAGAAAGGATCATGAGTACCTCAACAGAAGACAGTACACCAGATGATGAAGAAGATCACCTTCCTTTGGAGGATTTCCATCCACCATTTAAAAGTGAGGGATGGAAGCTCATGCTCAGACAGCCAACAAAAAAGAAGTTAGCTGGGAATAGATTCTGGAAAACAGTCTTTGTGAAAATAGCCAAAATTAAGGAAGGTATAGCCATTCAGCTGTTTTATGAAGAAAATCAAACAGAACCCTTTCAGGAATTGCCCCTTCAGCCATGTTATGCTTTATCAAACTTATCTGTTCAGCAGTACGACCAGTTTGGGAAAATCCATACAGTCAAGATTCAGTATGTATTTTACAGAGAAAGAGTTGGTATCAAGCCAGAGAGAATTACCCCATCTTTTGTAAGGAAACCTAAACCTACAATGATTCTAGACCATGCTCCTCAAATGTCAGAACTGCTCAAATTTGGAAGTTTGGATGAAGATTTATTGCGGTCATTTGTGTGGGAAGTGGAGGATGCATTTATGAAACTTGAATCTTTCCGAGACAAAACACTTTCTTACAACAAAGATGAAGTGACAGCAGAAGTATGGGAAGAATATGAAGCACACATTGACAAATTAGGACATGTTAAAACTCATAAAGGCCGTGTAAGACTCTTCTTTATGGCCTTTGTTACTGGAATGCCTTGGTGTGAATTGGGTTTGAATGACAAACGACGTAAAGGGAGAGAAGTTGTGGGAAGACATGATATCATTCCAGTGAAAACTGAGGATTGGATCAACATTGAAACTCCAGAGTTTCATTGCTCTGTAGATCTTGATGAATATGAAAAAACACACACAATCAAATTTCATCCATTGGATGCCTGTCAGTTTGAACTTTGTCGTTTCCGTGTGCGACCTAAATACAATCGTGAACTTCCTTTACAAGTAAGGTGCCAGCAGACTTTAAAAGATCGCCATTTTGAGATCCGTTGTGATATGTTAGTGACTGGTTATCATGCGAATACGAAAAAACATGGACAATTTCCCTGTGAGGATATCGAAGTGAGGTTTAAAATTCCTGAACAATGGATTTATTTATTCCGATATGAAAAACGCTTTGGATATGGTTCATTTAAAGCATCAGCTCGTAAACCTGGTAAAATTAAAGGTCTTGAAAGGATTACTATGATTGCTCAAGGTACCATGACACCAACTCTTATGGAGGCTTCATCAGGAACAGCTAAATATGAAAATCTGTATCATTCTGTTATATGGAGAATTAGTCGCTTACCAGAGAGGAATCAAGGTAGGTCATAAATTTAAGTTTTCTTAATCCTTCAATGTAAAACTTCCATGTAAAGAATTTCTAGGTATATTGGACATTTTTTTTATATTGATTTGATCAGTTTTTTCTCAATTATTCCCTTTATGTGCAGATTTACTTGTTTTATTTTGAAATATTTATATAAAAGTCGTAAAGCAGATATAAAATGAAAACTTCTGTTGATGTTGAAACATAAAATTATTTTGGAAAATCAGATTCTTTTTAAAGGGACAGTTGCGTCATTTTCGGTGGTTAATTTGAGTGTTGAGTATATGTAAATAGTTCTCAGAAGTACTGGAAATCTAAGAAAATCGCATCATTCCTTTAAAAATACTAGGAATTTTACGCACTATTTTTGTATTTGTCTTTTATATATCACAGAGTATCTTAAATTGACAAGTATTCATTTTAATATACAAATGCGGATAATTCTGGAAATGTATGGATCTGAAGGCTCAAATTTTGACAGTGTGCTGTGAACACTATTACTGATTGGCTTATCTAAAAAATTCCTGTTTTTTAAGGTCGAAAAAAAGAGGCGCATCTGTCCCTTTAACGAGTTATAGGCAGATGAAGATTACAATTGATATAGACTTTCCTTTAAACTTTGAAACCGACGTTCCTCCTTTAAAATCTTTAAAAGTTATATAAGAATTAAACTTGGTATTTTTTCAAGTAAAAATATTGAACATTTTGCACTTAAACTCTATTTTTCTTCCACTGTTGTGTAAATTGGAAAAAAATATTGGAGACTTTCCACTAACTTTGACACTTTCTACTATCTTGATAGTAATATTGATTATATAAGATGCTGTTGGCAGTTTGATGCCATTACTCTCATTACACTCTACAAGATTTTACATTGTCAATTACTTGAGAACTTGGAAAACACATTGTCTTGACAGTTCCTGGAAGAAGGCTCTTGATATATTATACCTTCTGATAATGACATGAGGCTCAATATGAAGTTGGGATTTGCACTTGACAGAAGGTCTTTGTTGCAGGTACATCCATAAAAGTTGAGTTGATATTGTTTTTCTGTCAAAATTTTACTCAATGCACACTGCATAAGTATTCTCTGTCATTTATAGCTCGATAATTTGTAATAAAAAATTAGTACTAAAATCTTGTTGAAATATTGGAGGCTGTAATTATTCACAAGGTGGTCAATATCAAGCCTGTTAAATGCAAAACAATTCTTAAGCAACTGAGTTTTGATTGGTTGAGCCTTTATTTTAGACCAATTAGATCTATTTACACAAAACTTTTGCACTAAAATGATTCTTGTGAGATCACCACTTTATTAAGCTATTTTTCCTTATTGAGCTCATCTCATTCTGTTGTCGTGTTTCTGATACATAATCTTGATCAGGACACCTAGTTTTGATATATCGGTATTACTTGCTTACATTTTTTACTCTCAGGGATTGGACACTAATATCAATTTTCAACATTCCAATTTTCAGTCAGACGTAGATGTGTATACTGCAATTTCTCAAAAAATAATAAGTGTTGGATGAAGTCACTTATCCCAAAAATGTGCTTCATCACACAAGACCTTCTCGATTAGTGATGCTATCAAACATTTAGTATAGTAGGAAAACTAATAATATTGTACTATTGCATTAACAAGGGCTAATTTTTTACTGACTCATACACCCTTTTTGGATCACGATGATAAAGATCCACAATTGACTCTGAAAAAAAAAATTTGAATGATATCTTTAAGCTGTGGGGAATGAAAGTTCTTTTACATTAATTTGATTAATATTTCTTCTTTAAGGAAATGAGTTCAGTGTCTGTCTCGCTGCCTAAGGGATTGTTGGAATGAAATTACATCTCATCCTGAATATTTTTTTATGTTCAAATGCTATATATAGTTTAAATTCCATTATCTGGAGACTTGAAGTCATTGCCTTGACATGCTGAGTTAAATTCTTAATATTCTTACAAATTACGACTTAAATGTTGAGATTCAGAGACTTGAGCATTAGTTTTCACATGAAAAGTAGGTCTGAAATAAGTTTGAGAAGAATTTAAACTTCATTACCAGATAGAAGAAAATGTAATTTTTCATATTCCAAACATTTCTGATAATAACCAGATAGTAAGAGAGGTCATTTTTCATATTTCCAAAAATTTTCTGATAATTACCAGATAGAAAGAGTGGTCATTTTTCATATTTCCAAAAATTTTCTGATAATTACCAGATAGAAAGTGTAGGTCATTTTTCATATTTCCAAAAATTTTCTGATAATTACCAGATAGAAAGAGAGGTCATTTTTCATATTTCCAAAAATTTTCTGATAATTACCAGATAGAAAGAGAGGTCATTTTTCAGATTTCCAAAAATTTTCTGATAATAACCAGATAGTGAGAGAGGTCATTTTTCATATTTCCAAAAATTTTCTGATAATTACCAGATAGAAAGAGAGGTCATTTTTCATATTTCCAAAAATTTTCTGATAATTACCAGATAGAAAGAGAGGTCATTTTTCATATTTCCAATATATATGAAATATTTTTCATATGTCTAAGCTAGTATGTGACGTCACTTGAGGGGAACTGCCTAAATTAATAGTAGCTTCCGGTAGCTTTCCTCTTGTGACGTCATAACACATGAGTTTTAGTTGAAATGCAAGAACCACTGATGTTGGAATGAAAATTGAAATGGTGCAAATTGAAGCTATCAGTGTCCCCAATACCCATAAAAAATTTAGAAAACCTCTTTACAATCCCTTTAATTCTTCACAAATAATTTGCATCATACATGTGAGAATTTTGTCAGTTTGGAAATTTTCAGTGTCCAATTCGATAGTGTTTACTTGAGATATTTTCTTATTCCATCTAAAACATGAATTACAAGCTTGATACATGAAGCTATTGGACACTTTCTAAAAAACAATCAGTTGTTGAAGTGATCCTTAAAAACTGGAGAATATTCAAGTGCTCTTATTTTGTCTGACAAGAACTAATTCTCAGTCCAATATATAAATTATGAAAATGCAATCACTTGATAATGTCAAGGCCTTTGATGGACATAAATTGACATAGAATCAAATGGTAGAGAAAATTTTGCCGTTAAGGAAGGTGCCTATCAAAGCACAGTTTATGAAATTTGTTATTCTTATACAGAAGCATATAAACGTTATTATGAAAAACTTTTCACTGCTGAGTATTGCTCCCTACATGGCCAGTATCAATTTAGGTTGAAAAATTTAATAAGCAATTGATCACACCAAATTTTAGTTTTGACTTATCAAGTGAAATTTTGATTTACTTTTTATAAAAATTTGGTAGAAATTCACACTGTTCCATGTGTTGTAGACTTCAGATCAATCTTGCCAAAGATGATAATTCCATCAGCTTAAAAAGACTACCAAGAGTTGCCGTATATTTCTAGCTTGACAGAAATTCTCACAAAAAATACATAACTTGTTGGATAAATTTTAATTTTTTGTAATCATAAGAAATATTGGATTACAATTAGATTAATTTTCACTTACAAACTGCACTAAGCTACTGCTTAAATTGAATTAAATTAAATTGAGCCGAAAAATTGGATGCAAGACTCTGCTTCATTTTCATGTATTTGATTTCTTTTCTTGTATTTTTCAGGTGCATATAAAAGTCATCTCTTTGTGTTACGATTAGATCTCGGACCACATGATGATATCCCAGAAAGCTTTGACGAGTTCTGTCAAGTAAAATTTACTATGCCATCAAGTACTGTATCCAAAACACAAGTTCGGTCTATATCAGTGGACAATCCTAATCCTCCAGAGAAATGGGTACGCTACCTCGCAAAATATCAATATCAAGTTGAAATTGACACTCAAATTGAATCAGGTTCTGAACAAGGTGCCAGTGATGAGTGATTATTGAAAGAGTGTGATCAACAGAAGCATCGGTCAAGGTTTGCAATTATATCTATGTCTGGCTTTTCAAGATGTATCATGAATGTTGGCTAACCCATTGAACAACGAGTTTGAAGGAGGTTGAACATCATATACCCTGATATCCAAATATCACGAGTTAAAGTGTATGACATGATGTCACGTGACTGGCCACTGGGGTATATATGTCACGTTATAAAGTGGCCATAGAACAGCTGTTAGTGTTGAAAGGGTTCAGATTTTTCCTGAAGTGTACGTTTGGATGTCAAAGAGTAGCAGTTTATTGTAGAAACATTGTTCACTTATGGATTCAGAACATTTCACAGATTGAAGAATATAGATCCAGATTGTTCAAAGTTGTTTTATGGTACCAGTATTTATTATTTAGGGACTTTGAATTGATGACAGATGATGCCTACAGGTGATGCATACAGATGATGCATACAGATGATGCCTACAGGTGATGCATACAGATGATGCAAATGCATACAGTTGAAAATCATTTAGTATGAATAATCCTGAGTCAGATAACTTAAACTCTGAGCTGATAAAATGATATTTTACGGCTTTCAAACACTTTTTTCTGTGTTCCATAAAACCAAAAGATATGAAACATAAGCACTTGATGATTGATCATGAGATTAAGCAGGTTCAGAAACACAAATGCAGAGTAAAACCAGGTGTTTTAGTGGTATACATACCTATTTCATAAAAATATGCATCATCTGGGTCACATCTGTACACTTTATTCTTCAATGTTAGTGAAAATGTATTCAGATAGTTCTTCATATATGATAAATATTTCCACCATATGAAGTCAAATGAATGCTAGCTCACTGCCAAGTTCTATATACCTTTTTAGCTGATCACAATTAGTTTCATGTAAGCATATTCAGTTCCATAAAAAACAAATGACACGTTTTGGCAAGACATTGCGAAGCAGATGTATTAGAGGTTATTGGATGAAGTGGCACATATATATATAACTTACTTAAAAGAAATATTAAAACAGAACTTGAAAAATGTTGTCACTAAAGGTTTGCTATGCGATCTTCAGACAACTGACCTACTTTCAGCCTACATCCCTACTAAAGTTGGACAAGTAGAACAAATTAATATTTTTATATCACTCTACAATTGATGTATTGAGCACTATTTTAACAGTGGTATTTCTATATCGCTCTACAATTGATGTATTGAACACTATTTTAACAGTGAAAGTATTTTATTATTGTAACAAACTAAAAACAGGTTTTAACATTTTGAAAAGATTAAGGGCCATAAAAGAAATATAGTGAAACAAGTATGTGTCAAGAAAATCCGAAACCTGCAAGATTTAGAAAATTTGAATTAAAATGAGAGAAAAAATCAATTGTTTAAATAGGAAGAACTGGAAGGTAAGAAATCAATTGTACTTATTGTAATGAAGAAGAAAGAAAGATAGCTAGAAAGGCTAAAAATTAACAAGATAAGGATAGAGTATTTAATAAAGGTTGATGAGATGACAAGATAAAGTCTGAGATATGAAAAAGTCAACAAGATAAAGATGAACTCAGTTTATGAGATTTATTCTAACAAGATAGAGATAGAGCAAGATAGGTGGAAAGTTAATAGTAAGATAAAGATAGAGTGTTAAAGGTCAGATAAAGATAGAGAAAGATAGATTAAAAATTAACAAGATGAAGATAGGTAGAGCGAGATAGATTGAAGTGTAAATTTAATTTTATGTTAAAGATAGATAACAATAAATTGAAAATGTCAACAAGATAAAGATAGATAGTGCAAGATAGATTTAATATTAACAAGATAGAGCAAGGTGGTTTGACAAGAGCAAAATAGATTGAAGATTAACAGGTTAAAAATAGATAGATGGATTGAAAATTAACACAATAAAGATAGAAAGATAGATTAAAAATTAACAAGATAAAGATGAATTGAATATTAACAATATAAAGGCAAGATAGAATTAAGATAACAAAATGAAGGTGAAGTAAGAAAAGGAGCAAATTAACAAGATAAAGATTTTTTGGGGGGGTTTTTATTTGGCCTTTGATATCCCACAAAAATTTCAAATTTAACTTACTCAAAATTCTTAGAAATTCTTTTTTATAAAGCAACTAAAATGTCAAACGCATAAAGTTATTTAAATCTATCAGAATAGTTTGATGACATTTCTAATGAAAATCTTCAATAAAATAACTGGAGATGATTCGTGTTAATACACAATAATCATAACCTGAAGGGAAATCAGTCGCTCAAATTAGTTTTAGTAATTTTGTCTAATTATTGTGATAGGCGAAAAGTCCAACCTACGCATTTCATCAGGAAATGGTAATTCTTTGTAGGCTTATCTTGCTCTTGACTTAATTATTGAAATTGCTCTAAAATCTAAAATTTGCATCTAGTTGTTGCCAATATTTAATGGTAAAAACTGCATGATGAATTCAAAAATCATTATTGCAATCAAGTTCATTCAAAATTTGATTGCTGCAAGTTTCGACTTTTGGCTTCAGACTCTTGATTTGTTGATATTTTCCTGTTACAGTTGAACTGTAGCTATAATTTTAAAATCTTATGATATGAAAGGAAGCAACAATTTTGTCCTTCATTATCAGTATTTGAAATTTAGTTTTTGAGGGTGCACATATTGTTGTGATTTGATTAGGGTTGAAGGTAGGAATTACTGGACCTTTCTGCTGTTCTTGAAGTTCAGTTAAAATTTTGCTTTTACTCATGTACAAATTATCCATATTGTCAATTCTATGAGAACTGAATTAAGCCTATTATTCAATATCCATTGCACTCTGTATGTATCACAGGGACTTGAGACATCTTGTCACCAATCTATGTATTTTTATTGTAAACTAATTGTGGATTACAGCTATAAAGGATAAATAAAACAACTTGATCAAATCTGACTTGGTTAACCACCAAATTGTTAAGGTGTAATTTGTATTAAATAAACTTAATGTACATATTGAATTATAGTCAGTTTCATTATCTTATGGAACATTTTCAAGTATTATATAGAAACATGAGGTAGCTATGCAGTATAAAAGTAGTTGTAGAATAGTGAAATAGAGTATATGTCTGTGTTGCCATGGTAATATTGATTTGATATAATGCCATGTTTTCCTATAGATGGTAATATAAGAGTTAAGTGGCTCGATATAAGAGCTATATTTGCTTATATGATGGAATTTCAACACCTTTAACCATTTAATTTGATTTTTTTTCCATTTTTTCAAAAGATCTTATTAATTATATATTGGTTATAGTTATTCAAATAAAAAACAACAGAAGAGAATAGCTTGTAAAGGGATAAGTTCTTGTAATTTTCTTTATTATAACATGTGATAGAGGAAATTGTTTTTGTGCAGTTCAGTATATTAAATGATACACCTTAAGCAGATAAAATTTACTTTGCAACATCACATTTGCTTTCTTGGTGAATGCTAGCTCTTCAAGATGAATAAGCTTACAGATTATGCATTTGTTTTGAACAAAAACTTAACTCAATACAGTGGCGGCGCCAGCCAAGAAAGACAAGGTACTAACAGGGGGTTGACTGACTTAATGGGAATACAATCTTTGAGGATGAGATTCAAATTGCAGCAGCTCTATGGAAACGCATGGACAAGAGCCTACAACTAAGCATCTGAAAGGTTTCTCCCCGATTTTTATTTTGAAAACTGGTTTGGATTTGGTGCTGTCTGACACTTATTTTGGGGAAAATGGTACAAAAATCATATTTTTCAATTTGTTATATGTGCAATTGGTGGTACAAACCACTTGTATTTAAGGGGAGCAAATACCCACTGTACCTCCACTGACTCAATATGCATCAAAATTGTTCATCGATTTGTAATTTTTTTTTTAGATATAGGGCACTAGTGGTTTAATTTTTAAGTCAAATATCAAGGGATAAGTGCATAATATGCTTAATAAATATACCAGAAAGATATTAGTTTAAGAGACCTTTGATGTAAAATAGTTAAGTCACGAGTTTGTTTTTAGGTTTTGTAAGTGGAATGATGATCTGTTTAATAATCAAATTTGTATTTAAATCAAAATATCAGTATTTAAAACTTTTTCTTTTTTTCTTGTTTTGTTCATTATTTTAATCACCTATAAACATCATATAAAATATCATATCACATTTTTCTGTTACAAATTACTTAAAATTCATCTCTGTACATGAATATTACTTACTCTTGAATTTTTTCTGTTATTTCAAAAATATTCAAGACTTTTCAATTGAATGTCATTTGTCTTGATATATCTTAGAAACTAGGCCACATGTGAAAATGACTCAAATTTTGGGCTGAAATTTCCTTTCTAAATAAATAATTCTGGAATTTCCATCAAACCAAAGACAATAGAAATTTCAATTCATCGAAGAATAATGTTCAAAATGTGATGTGGTCAGACAAAAGATCTGTATTTTATTCATGGGTTACTTCAGTCATACTTGATCTTGCAACATATTTAACAAATAAATGTTCTAGTTTTTCTGTTAATGCAGATTCAGGTAATTCTGTTGACTTGAACTGAAATCTACTTGTAACAGTGGTTTTGATTGAATCATTTCTCTAAAACATTTCAACTTGATTGAAAGACAAATGTTAGATCTATAGTGAAAGAAGTAACTCAAAGAAAATCTTTTGCTGTATTGTAATCATCTTCTGTTACCATGCATTTTTGCATTGATCTCTTCACTTTGGTTAAACATTTTTAATTTTTAACAGTTTTATGTTATTAACCTCAACTAATTCTCAATAAATAACATAACTAAACTCATTTAAGAAATGTTTATTTGAAATAACACTTGTAACCAACCCAATTTTTTCTGTGCTTATCTGCTTGCTACAAAACCAAAACATTCTCTCTGGAAGAATTGAATGATTTTAACATAAATTTCCTCATTTGTAACAAATTTTAATCGAGTATTTTTTGAAAATAATGCATATATTTAAAACATG